GGGCCGAACACTGGCCCCGTCCCCCTGCCAATGTCACAGCTGGCTCCTGTGAGCCAGATTGACCAGGTGAGGCTCTGAGAACATGGCTTGAGCTGACATGGGACTAACAAATAGGAAAAAAGGCTGGGGAGTGGGTCAGGAGAAACAGAGGCTGGGAATCCAGCCCTGAGGTTGTTCAGTGCTAGCCCCAGATGGGAGGCCCTGGCTGTGTGCAGACCAGCCACATAGCCCCCACCCGAGGGTGGCAGTCAGGCTTGAGACTGCCCATCCTGGGCAGTCTGCTGGCACCATCTCATGGCCAGAAGCCCTCAGTGCAGGGAAGACAATCCTCTGGGAATTTCCTGGCTTGAACATCTAAGCATCTAACCATGGATAAGGGGTTTGTAATGTTAGGAACACAGTATTGAAATGTCACCTGGCTGGGACACCTTGGGAAACTCGCTGACTTATCCTGAGTCTTACTTCTTTCATCTGTAAAAGGGATGGAATACTCTCCCCCACCACCCACCCAGAACTGCAGATAAAACATCTGGCAGCAGGCAGACTATTAGGAAATGACACCAGGGGGCGAGGACCCAGAAATTAGTGCACACTGCCACGGGCTGAGGGAGCCCAAAGTGGGGGCGTCTAGGCTGGGCCTGGGATTGATTCATTCAATTAAGGAAAATTGAGTCCATACTGTGTCCCAGGGCACCTGCTTGGTTTCATTGATTTCTTACAACAGCCTATGTGGCAGGTACCAGTAATCATTCTCATTTTACAAACGTGAAAACTACAGGAAAGATAAGTAGGGCTTATTTGGAGGAAAAAGCACAGACGTATGCTTCGGGGCTGGAAAGCCTGGTGGGGAAGGGCTGAGGCTGGACTTAGGAGCCCTGGCAGGGGCACTTGGTCTCCCTTGGAGGTTTTAAACGGGCCAGCTTCCCACAGGCCTCTAACTGGGCCCCTCTTCACACAGCTCACCCCATGCTACACTATGCTTCATTTCTCCCACACAAGAAGCTTGTTCTCTACCTGTGTGCCGCCTGCCTAGGGTGCTCTCTTCACTCTTCATGTGGCCTAGTCCTCCTGACCCTTTAACTCCCAGCAACAGACATGCCTTCTCCAGGAACCATTCCAGGTCACTCCCTCTCGTGACCCCTGAGACCTGAGCTCTCCTACCTGGGCCCCACTCAGATAGCAGGAACTGGAACCCAAGCCTTGCGCTGGGGCCGACACCCCCAGGAAGCCCTCAGAGCTGTTTCCATTCTTGGGACAGACACTTTGGTGGGAGTGACCACGGAGGTTGTCCTAGGAACCCAGCTAAGGACTGGTTCTGAGCTGACAGGCAGGTCTTCTTGCCCTCCTGGGCTCCAGCACCACTAAAATCAGACCAGGGGGTCCACACTTTCAGCCAGCACAAACAACTTCTTAGCACAGTTCCGAATAAGTAGTAGGTGCTCAATCTTTGCATGATTGACCAAGTGTTTATCAGTAGTTCAAACCTGAATTTCCTCAGTTTGACCCAAAGTTTTGGGACCAACTCAATTCCTCAATCCCCCTGCCTATAAAATGGGTTTCGTTGTGAGGTCAGTGCTTACACTTTCAGGGTAAAAAGGGTCCTCTCTCTCTCTCTGACAGTTCATCCTCACAATGTGCTAGTGGCCAGTACGACCACATTCTACCAAGGAGGCTCAGAGAGGGGAATGGGCTTGTGGAGTAGGGGCCAAAGTAGAACAAGAACCTGGGCCTCAAGCACCCAGGGCAGTGTTCTTTCCCTGCGTGACCTTGTCCCCCTCTAGTTGCCTCCGCTGCTCCCAGTCAAAACCCACTTACTCCAAGTCACCCCCCGCAAAATGCTGCCTCTGCTACTGGAACAATGAGAAGCCACCTCACCTCCTCTGGTCCATCCTAACAGCTCTGAGTCTTGGTTTGGGAGTAAGGAGGGGTTGGAAGAGGGCTTGGCACTGACAGGGAGAATCTCACTCAGGTAAGTTCTCAGGGGCATCACCTCTGTCCCCACAACCCACACCTGTCACCTCTGGTGAGCTCTGGACCTGTCATGCAAAAGGAGACAGTGCCTGATAAGTGGAGGATCTGACGGCATACAGTAGGTGTTCAATAAGTGGTTTTGGAGAAAAGGAGGAGAGAGAAGGAAGGAGGGAGGTGACCAAATAAATGAGTGCATAAGTAGATTGCCATGTAGAGGGATGAATAGGTCAGTGAGTGAGCTATTGAATGAATGGAGAAGGGAGGGATGGATGGGGGAGTGAGTGACTCTGGGTGTTACAACTAAAGGGGAAGCCGAAAGCTTTTCAATCACCAACATGCCTGTTTGACAGATGAAAAGACTGAGAGAGGGCTGAGGAGAAAGGAAGCTGCTGGGTCTGTGGGGCTGGCCTTCGACCAGCAGCCTCTGGTTCTCCCCCACCTCTCTTTCTACCCCCTCATCACCCTCTTCCTTCTGCTGGGTGGGAAGGGTTCCAGGAAGAAGAACTTTTCTCCGCCCCCTTGCTCCTGGAGGCCCAGTTTCCTCCAGGCCTTGGTGTTGGAGGTAGTAGGGAGGGGGTGGCCCCCGCAGGGGCTATTTCAGTCAGAGACAGTCCTGCCAGGAAACAGAGGAAGCCGCCTGCCCCCTTGGAGGTGTTTCAGGCTGGGCCGAGGGCAGAAGAGTGGAGAGCCTCACATCTGGCCTCCTCTTGCGCCAATGCATTTGAGCCACCAGGGTGCTTCGGGGACAGGAGGCTGCATGTGAGTGTTGGTACTACGGGCCATGTGAGGTGGGAATGGGGACTGGACACAGGAACTGTGACTTTGGGCAGGCAGTCTGGTCCCAGCACTGACCTAAAGGAGGTCCACAGTGTTGGGGGGACCCAAAGAAGGGATTCCACCCAGTTGGAGGACCAGAAAGGAAGAAGCAAGATTGGATCTGCAGCTGGATGGGCACTTAGAGTTTTGACAAACAGACATGTGGTGAATGGCATTTTGTGCGGAGGGAACAGCAAAGATGGGGAGGCCTGAAAGGAAGTCTAGATCTCTGGCTATGGATAGTTGTGTGGCAGTCTTATCTTGGGAACGGTGTGGTAGGAGAGGAAGAGGTAGAATGGAGGAACAAGGGGTGCCTTGGATAAGGTTGGAGGGCTCAGCAGGGAGCTTGAATGTCAGGAGCTTGAGCTTGTCTTCAAAAGGCAGAGGAACACAGGGAAGGGTGTAGTCAGATCTACTGTCTAGAAAGCCAGAAAGCACCCCCACCAAAGGCAGTGTGGCCAGAGACCAAGAAGACCCTGGGGCCTGAGCTGGCCCAGGGCTCAGGGTCCAAGAGCCAATGACATCTGTGGGAGCTGGAGGGAAACAGTGTCAGCTGCTGCCAGGAGGCAGGGGCCAAGGGAGCCCTCTGTTGGGACCAGCCTGAGCCTCTCATAGGTCATCAGAGGGTAGAGTGTACAAGGGAGAAGCGTGACAGCCATGCCTGCCTTTCTTGGAGCAGACCTGAAGCTTTACTCTGGATCTCCTTGTGCAGCCTCTGCCTCCTTCCAAGAGGACCAGTCTTACCAGGGAGTAGAGAGCAGAAAATATCTGGAGCCTCCAGTTACCTGAGGCGAGGGCTTTCCCTTGGGGTGGTGTCTGAGGACAGTAGGCCTCCCAAAAGGGAGTTCAGAGGCACAGCACTGTTCCTTCTACCTGCTTCTTCCTCCTCACCATGACCCTGCCCTATCAGGCTGCTCTCCTCTCAATCCCTGACTGCTCTTCCTGCCTCCCCACTTGGGGACACCCCAGAGGTGCTCACACCCCTCTCCACCCAGGGAATTCCTCCTCAACCACCTAGGTCATGCTCCATCCTTCATTCTCTTCTGAAAAGTCTCTTCTACCTTGTGGCTCACACTGGTCTCCCCATTCAGACTAGCATACGTACATTACAGGTATGTGTACGTGTATGTGTATAAATAATTTCTATATCTCTATTTATCTGCATCGGCATCTATATACTGTGCCCCCATGCATCCAGCAGGCAGTAAGTGTGCATTAAATGCCTGGCAGGTGAAAACAGGAGAATGAATGCATAAAGGAAAGAATGGCCTGAACAAATGAATGAAGAGACAGGTAAATCAGCTTTCTCTTGCCTGTACTAATCTTGGCTTCCTGGCTACAGTGGGGGATCCTGCTTCTTCCTGTGGCTTCCCCCATGCCTGACTGGCTAGCTGGTCACCCATCACTCCTTGCACATGGGCTGAAGCCCCACAAAGAATTTTTCATAATAAAAGATAATATGGCCTGCGGGATACGGACTAAAGAAGCCAAACCTCATTTTGCATTTGCCCAGACTCTTGGAAAAATATTTTCATCAGAATAAAAGTTTAAGTTGGTAGAAATTGGCTTGGGTAGTTATGTTTTGCTCTAACATAACTTTTTAAAATCTCATAACTTGGGGAGCCTGGATGGCTCAGTAGGTTAAGTGTACGACTCTAGATTTCGGCTCAGTTCATGATCTCGCAGTTCATAGGAATGAGCCCCATGTCAGGCTCTGCGCTGACAGTTTAGAGCCTGCTGGAGATTCTCTCTCTTTCCCTGTCTCTCTGACCCTCCCCTGCTCATGCTCTGTCTCTCTTTGTTCCCTCCCCTGCTCTCGCTCTCTCTCTCTGTCTCTCAAAATCAAAAAAAAATAAGAATAATTTAAAAAATTAAAATCTCAAAACTTGAATTAGCAGGTATATTTTCATCAAGAACAGGTAACACTTGTGCCAGGCACTGATCTTCGTAACAACCGTATGAGGCAGGTACTCTATTACCTCATTTTACAGATGGGGAAACCAAGGCCCAGAAGTTCAGTAATGAGCCTAAGGCCCCACAGCTCACATGTAGCAGAGCTGGGATTTGAACTGGGGCATCTGGCCTCAACCCTCTGTCATCCTCTATGTACATTTATAGAACTTCATATTTTTTCCTTCGCTTCAGTTTTTCCAGCTATAAATAGGGAGGGAGTTGATCTGACTCACTATCTCAAAGGCTTTCTCTTACAGGTCCATTAGTTTTAAGTTGTGAGTTCTCTCTGGGTACCAGTAAATGTGGACATGCAAGTTGGGAGGTAAGTATCAAGAAGCCAGACTTACCTCACCAGGAAACCCCTAAGACATGTGCTTCCCCAAAATCTAGGCTGAAGGGATGAATGGAGGCATTAGGTGCAGGATACAACATCATGGCATGGCACTTATTAAGCACCTACTGTATATCAGGCCTATGACATGCTTTACTGATAAGAACATAGACCCGGAAAAGGCAAGGGACATGCTTTGGGTTGAACAGCATAGAAGTAGGGGAGCCAGCATTTGAATGAGGCTTGCCTAGCTCTGAAGTTGGGTTTATAACTTCCACATTCCATGACCATGGGCTTTGCTAAATTGCCTCCTCTCAGTCAGGTGGTTGGGTTCTGGTTCTGCTTCTAACTCACTGAGGAAGGTTGAGCCATCACTGCCTCTTGCTCTGCCTGGATTTTCCTCTCTATAAAAAGCAAGTAGCAGAGGCGCCTGGTTGTCTCAACCAGTGGAGCATATGACTCTTGGTCTTGGGACTGTGGGTTTGAGCCCCACTTTAGGCAAAGAGATTACTTAAAAATAAAATCTTAAAAAAAAAAAAAATAGGCAGTGGACCTCAGCCATTTGCCTTCAGGGAAGCTGTTTTCACTCTAGCCACCAGAGGGTGCTGTGGCTCAGTGGCTCTGCCCGACAGGCGTTTGCAACCTCAAGTCAAGTAGAAAGAGGCTTAGGGGAGGGAACTCCTGAATCACCTCCTTCCCCCATTTTACAGATAAGAAGATTGCAGCCAAAAGAAGGACCATGGAAGGTGGAGTCCAGGCTGAGGAGGTGGGCACTGTCCTTCATCTGTTCACACTGTGTGGATATTCTGTTCATGTTGATTAATTAAGATTTACCAGGGCCTTCTATGCCCTGGACCCCAGACTGGGCTTTCAGACACAGAGAGGCATCAAACCTGGCACTTCTTTTCAAGAGGTTCCCAGTCTGTGTAGGAGAGAAAGACAGGCATGTTCACCATAACAATAATCTCCAAACTCCAAAAGCCTAGCATGATTTAGTACCTCAAACTTCATGACATTCTGAGAGATGGAATATCATTCCTGTACTTTTCAGATAGGAAAATTGAGACTCAGAAAAGGTATATCACTAGCTCAAGGTCACATAGCTAGTAAGTACCACCGGTGGAATTCAAACTAGAGGCTGTCTGGAGTACCTAGCTAGCTCAGTCAGAAGAGCATGCGACTCTTGATCTCAGGGCTGTGAGTTCAAACCCCTGTTGGATGTAGAGATTAGTTAAATAAATAAAACTTTTTTTAAAAGATTAAAAAAATAGATTTCAAACAAACAAACAAAAACCAAGTTACAGTCTGTCAATCTCCACTTAAAGAGGAGACATATGACTAGAGTTTTGAAGGCTGAATAGAAGTTTACCAGGAAGATTAGTGGGAAATGAATATTATAAAAAATGAATTGGATTTTTCCCAAGCTTGAGCTTTATTGTATTCCAGGTTTCCTTAAAGCGAAGGCTGTGTGGGGTGTCCGTGGGGTAGTATCAGAGATGGTTCAGGTGGAGATCAGGGTCTAGAAACGGACGGTGGGGGGGAGGGGGGGCACTGGACAGTCAGCTAGTGTGGATACTGACAGGTTTTTTGTTGCTTCCCCAGCCTCTCTGGATGTAGGAAGCATAATTGGGCAGCCATGGAGTGGGACAATGGGACAGGCCAGGCCCTGGACTCACCGCCCACCACCTGCGTCTACCAAGAGAACTTTAAGAGACTGCTCCTGCCACCTGTGTACTCAGTGGTGCTGGTGGCCGGCCTGCCACTGAACGCCTGTGTCATTGCCCAGATTTGCACATCTCGCCGGCCCCTGACACGCACAGCCGTGTACACCCTGAACTTGGCTCTGGCCGACCTGCTCTATGCCTGCTCCCTGCCTCTGCTCATCTACAACTATGCCCAAGGTGACCACTGGCCCTTTGGCGACCTCACCTGCCGCCTGGTCCGCTTCCTTTTTTATGCCAACCTACATGGCAGCATCCTCTTCCTCACCTGCATCAGTTTCCAGCGCTATCTAGGCATCTGTCACCCACTGGCCCCCTGGCACAAGCGTGGGGGCCGCCGTACTGCCTGGGTGGTGTGTGGGGCTGTGTGGCTGGCTGTAACGACACAATGTTTACCCACAGCCCTCTTTGCTGCCACAGGTATCCAGCGTAACCGCACCGTCTGCTACGACCTGAGCCCACCTGCTCTGGCCACCCACTATATGCCCTATGGCATGGCCCTCACGGTCATTGGCTTTCTGCTGCCCTTTGCCGCCCTGCTGGCCTGCTACTGCCGCCTGGCCTATCGTCTGTGCCGCCAGGACGGCCCAGCGGGGCCAGTGGCCCGGGAACGGCGCAGCAAGGCAGCCCGCATGGCTGTGGTGGTGGCAGCAGCCTTTGCCATCAGCTTCCTGCCCTTCCATGTCACCAAGACAGCCTATCTGGCGGTGCGCTCTACACCCGGTGTCCCCTGCCCTGTGCTGGAGGCCTTTGCAGCTGCCTATAAAGTCACACGGCCCTTTGCCAGTGCCAACAGCGTGCTGGATCCCATTCTCTTCTACTTTACTCAGAAGAAGTTCCGCCGGCGGCCACACGAGCTGCTGCAGAAACTCACAGCCAAGTGGCACCGACAGGGCCACTGAGTCCACTGGGGAAAGACATCTGGGGCCAGGGCACCAGAAGCCCCACCAACCCTGAACCATGCAGAGAATTAGAGCTTAGCTCACCTGGGCATGGAGTGAGGTCCCCCCATAGACCCCATAATCTCACCAATAACTATTTATTGAACTCTTTCTCTGGACCAGGCCGTGTGTGCACAGAGACAAGCTTGGACCTTGCTCTCTAGAAGGTCCCAGTCAGCCCTGGAGGGGCAGGGAAGCCATGTTAAGCTGCTCACAAAAATGTAGAGTGACATGCACTGTAATTGAGAAATATGCTGTGTGTTTTGGAGTTACCAATAAAGGGAGTGAGGGAAGATGGGAGGCGAAAATGAGGGCTTCTGGAAAGGAACATTAGAGCTGGATTTTGAGGGATGAATATGACTCTCTGGAGGTACATGACATTCCCTTCATTCAGCAAACCTTTACCTACACCTTGTGCTTGGGCCTGAGCTGATTCTGGGGCCCCAGGAGAGCCAGTCCCAGGTCTGCCCCATAGAAGCCCCCAACTACTAGATGTACAGACATTTGACAAAGTGATGTCAAGGCTGTGACAGAGGGAAGCATGGCTGGAGGGAAGGGGTGAGCAGAGGATACCCATATTCCAGTCCAAGGAGTCAGGAAAGATCTCTCAAGGCGGGGATGGGGGGCATCTGAACCAGAGGTTGAGGGCTGAGTGGCAGATCAGCAAATAGAAGTGGGGAGTGTGTTCACACAGCCTGGGGTGGCCCTGTGCTAGACTCTGCCCTGGGGCAGATGGGTAGAGAGCTGGGGTGGGGGGCAGTCATATGGCCTCCTGTGTGTGAAAGTTGAGAAAACATAAGCTGTCCCGTGGCCACCTTCCAGGCTGTGGGGGCTCAGCAGAGGGAGAAATTGGGGAGTGCTTCTTCAAAGAGGTAGAGCTTAATCCGGGGAGGAATCCAAAAGGCAGAGAGAAGGAGACTGCTCCTGGTGGGAGGCACCATGTGCATAAAACCCAGAGGCAGAGATGCATTGAATCTGGCTGTAAATCAATAGTGAGTTTCAGTTAAGTCCAAGAGGGGATGGAGTGGGTGGGACCAGAGCATTAAATGCCAGGAAGAGCCCCAGACCCCACCTCTCCTCCATCTACCTCTTCATGGGCCTCCTTCAGCCTCAGGGTATCCTGGGTGCCTGAGGACCCCTCCACCAGGCCCCCCAAGTAAGGGGGAAAAGCCCTTCAACACTGCTTCATTCTAGAAGAAGTCAACAACTAGAAGAGACTCAGGGCCATGCCAGGGCTACCAGGAGGCTGTGACATGGAGGTGTAGAGGTCCTGTGGCCAGTATCAAGACAGACTGTTCCATGGGTTCTGCTCCTACTCTCTCACCTCCATCATTCTGGACTGTGGGTGCCTGGAGGGCTGCTAGTGGCCACCTCTCAGGGGCACCTCAGACACAGACCTGAGCCTTCAAAAGCTTTGGAAAGGCATCTTCACTGAAGGTCTCTGAGGAGGCAGCGAAGGGATTCTGCCACATAAGGCCTCTTTACCTGCTCTCCCCACCTGTGGCCCCACCCACACAGCTCCTCACCCTCTCTACTCCTTTTCCTCATATCTCCACACACACCCCCACCACACTTCTCCTCTATTACTTATTCCCTCCTGTCAGGTCTCAGCTCTCCACCTGTAGAACATGGCTGCTGGTATACCATCAGACCCTGTACCCCAACCAGCCTTGACAAAGAGTCTACCTTCTTAGAAGGTAGAGGGGAGAGAAGGCAGAGCATAGGTACAGGGCAGGGAGGGGAAGGACTGTGTAGCTTACTCAGCATTTTTCCTTTAGCCCTGTCTAATCTCCAAGGCTGTTGGACAGTGGGGGCATTCAGAGAAGGGCTCTGTGGGAGTTAAACTCCATAGTGATGTTGGAAGTCTGCTTGCAGCTGGCTGAGGAAGTGGGAAAACCAGGCCCAAACCATCTTGGGAACCCATCAGAAGTACCTTGCTGAAGAGACTGATGATAATTTGGACAGAAGGGACTTTGAATCTTTGGGTCACAGGGAAGAGATGTGAGGAAATGTCAGAAGATGTATACTCCCAATACAATGCAACATCCTGCCGAGGAGTACAGATGATGCCTTCCCTGCATCTTGTTGTGAGTCTGAGATGAGACTCTTCAGTTGCCTGTTATGAGGGAGCAGGGGAGTGGGAGAGCGGAGGGCAGGGGGCCTCTGCCCATAGTGTCAGGTGAGCCCTGTAGAGAGGCCCAGATGACTGTCCTAGGAGACTGCCAACAATGGTGACCCTTTGGTTACTTATCCAAGAGTGGAAATTGTGAGCCACGCATCAATTCCATTCCCAGCTTCCCTTCACAAGGCAGAATAGCATAAAGGGTAACCACTCCAGAGCCAGGTCACCTGAGTGTGTATCTTGGCTCTACCACTTTCTAGCTATGTTACCCTGGGCAAGTTATTTAGCCTCTTTGTACCGTAACTTCCCAAGCCATAAAACGGGAGTGATGATGCTATCTGTCTTGTAAAGTGGTTGTGAGGATTGATATGTGCAAAGCACTTAGAACAATGCCGGAACGTAGTGAGCGTGCAATGAGTGTTACTATTGTAATGATTTTGCCTTTTGGGCACACAAGTTCCTCCGGCATCTCTCCCTAGGAGTTTGCCTAGGATGTTTCTAAACAAGGGGCGTTGAGCAGGAGATTTCTCCTTTTCCTTCACCTGGGGAGGTAGTTGGTCTTTTAAGAAAAAAAAAAACTCAGCATACTTTTTTTTTTTTTTTTTTTTTTTCAGAACAAGGGCCGTAATCCATGAGCTTCATCCACTCCTATAAGAAGGAAAAACCATTTATTAATGCCAGTATGAGAGACTCCAAGTGCCATTTGGGGAGCTTGAATTTCCCCCTTCTTTCTCCCTCCTTTTGTCCCATCTTCCACTCTCTCTCCTCACTTTAACCCAGAGCACACCCAGTGACCAGGCTTCAGCTGGGGGCTTCAGCTCACTAGGGGTAAAGACAGAGCAGTCATAGACCAAGGTGCACAGGTAGAGTGTGGTGAGGGGTGGGTGGAGCATGTGGGTTCACTGGGGTCCAAGGTGATTCTCTGGGCTTGAGAAGATTTCTTGGAGGGCGGAGCAGTGCAACTGGGGCTTGAAGAATGGCCGTAATTAGACTGAAGAAGAGAGGGCAAGTTTGTTCCTAGTGCAGGGAACAGCACAGCTGAAGGCATAGAGGCTGTTGGAGGAAGGATAGGAAGCCTGAAGAGTTGGCAGGGCTGGAGTAAAAGGCTTGGTGCCAGCCCAGGGAAGCGCTGGGGGTCACAACAATGACAGCGGTGGCCATTTGCTGGGCTCTGCAGGTCCTAGGCACATGCAGTGTGCTGTACACACATTTTCTCATTTAATCCTTATAATACCTCCAATTACAGGTGGTGATACTGAGGCCCAGATGTGGGAATTGACCTGCGAAGGTCACACAGTCTTTCTCTAACCCAGATACTAGATGCCCCCTCTTGCCTTACTCAACCTGCTTCCCTTCCTTTTCCTTTTATTACCTGCCTTCCAAGTGCCCACCTGCCCCAGCCAGTGCCAGTAACTGGGGACCCCCTAGGAAGTTGTTACAGAGACAGCTAAGTGCCAACTGTAATTATCAACTCTCTTTTAATTGGGCACAAGTTCTCCTAGGATGAAGACTTCATTTCCCAGCCTTGCCTACAGCTATGTATGGCCAGGTATCTTAATCCTAAGCAATGGGATATAAGCAAAGTGCCCTAAGGCAGTTTAATACAGGAAGGGGGTGAATGTCTTTTAAAAGATAGGTAGTATCTGTCATTTGCCTCCCCTTCCTTCTTGCTGCTTACGATGGGGACATCACAGCTGGGGTACCATTTTGGACCATGAGAAACAGGTAGGGTTTCTGACCATTCCAGTTTGGGGCCATCTAAACTTGGACTTCTGCACAAGAGAAATAAATGTTTATCTTTTTTTTTTTTTTTTTAATTTTTTTAATGTTTTATTTATTTCTAGGAGAGAGAGAGAGACAGCGTGAGCAGGGGAGGGTCAGAGAGAGAGGGAGTCACAGACTGAAACAGGCTCCAGGCTCTGAGCTGGCAGTCAGCACAGAGCCTGACGCGGGGCTCGAACCCACGAACCGCGAGATCATGACCTAAGCGAAAGTCGGACGCTTAACCGACTAAGCCACCCAGGCGCCCCAATGTCTATCTTTTTTAAGCCACTACTTTTTCAGGCCTTTGTTACACAGCCAAAACAAATCCCTTTACTTAGGCTCTATCCTGAGATGATGGACCTAGAGGGAGGCCAGGCAGTGTCCTGGACTGGGGTGGGGGCCAGGGTCTAGCTTGGTAACAAGGCCTCAACCTGGGTGGGAGCTAGGATCCAACAGGGTCTGGACATACCCAGGAAGGCTTCTTAGAGAATTGCAAAGCTTGGGGTGTGGTCATGATGTTTTTGGCTTGAGGCTGAGGGGGTGGATGGGTTTTCTGAGGGAGAGAGTAGGCAGGGAGGCCCTGGAGAGAACCCTGGGAACTTCATTAGGGGACGGGGCAGAAGGAGGAGCCAGAGGGGTGGAAGGTCAAAGCCTAGGGGTTTCTGAATGACGGTGACAGTGGAGGTGGGTGGATGAGGGAGTAGCAGGAGGAGAGGAAGTGGAGGTGATGGGTGAAGAAGAAAAGAGAGAAGGTTCCCAGGGAGGCCAGGTCCAGGGAAGACACTTCCAAGACAGGAGGCCTGAGTGTTGGCTGTTGTAGGTTGAGGACAGGGGCAGGGCCAAAGATGCAGGAGCCAGAGAATCAAGAACCAGGGCTTGTCCTTTCTAATTTGGAAAAGCCCAGGGGCACTGGATCTGTTCTAGCAATAGATGCAGCTTGCTCCTCACTCCCTCATTCTTTCGCTCAGCACACATTCTCTATGCTCCTCCAAGATGGCGATGGGAACGCAGAGGCAGCTCTGACCCAGACCCTACCCTCAGAAAGAACCTGGGGGTGAGAGTAGGGGTGCAGACAAGGAAACAGACAGTTCATCCAGTAAACATTTATTGAGCACCTACTATGTGCCAGGCATCATGCTGAGCAATCCGTCCCTGCCCTGAGGGACCTCCTAGTCTGATGGAAGAGAATGTCATTAATGAAATAAACATATACCCTGGATCATTATAGCTGGGGAGGAGAGCTCAGAAGGACATAAAGAGGGCTAGGGCACAAGGAAGGCCTCCCTGGGGAGACTATAAGCTCATGCAATGGTCAGGAGCTGAGAGATAACGGGGACCAGGGGGTCTGTGACTCAGCTTACAGAGGTTTCTTAGCTGAGGCCCAATGGT